CCTCAGCTGCACATATGCACAATAGACTTGAAATACAAATACTTGCTATTTGTTATTTTTGTCCTATATTTCAGTCTGTGCTTAGAAGTGCAAAATCTAGAATTCCCTGAGTATATTTACCTACTAATATTCTGCAGTACAGGTACATCTAAATGTTGCACAAGGTATTGGGATTTCTCTGCAGTCATTTATTAGCTGTGTTGCACAGACAATTTGGTCTGCTCCCTTGGTGCCAAGTACTAGTAACATGAAGGTAGTGTTATGTGATGTAAAAAAAAGAGGAAAATGTCTCAAATTCTTCCTTACACACTGACTGCTCCACATAATGATGTTTTTCCATTGAATACTAAAAACAGGTTCCGAGAAGGTGGCAACAAATGGTCAAATTGATAGTAACAAGAACTTCAAGCACAAACAGCAATTGGAAAATATCCTTCCATAGTTACAAAGATCAAGATGACAGTTGGCCCACAACAGTGAAAACAGAATGCTTCTTCATTTAGTTGTAGATTTAATAAACATTACTATTGCTAGTTCATAACATTACAAAAGTAATGATAAGAAAGGTAAAGCAGCAATAGTTTATGAAAGGATAATGTGCTCATGAGATCACTTCAAGAAAAAATTTAATTAGTGCGATTGTTTTCCAGGTCCTCCTAGTTGGCTTTTACTGAGATGATGTTTTTGAAGGCAGCTACAATATGTTGTGGAGACAGTGAATTGAAACTTTGATCTCAGCTCTCCCAGTCTCACCCTCTGGCATGCCTTTGGTGTTCCAGTACCTCTGCAAGCACTCTGAGTTACTGTCCTTCTTTCTGGTACTTTGATGGAAATAAAGCAAGTAAAATATATGATTTGCAAAGTCCTCTCTAAATTTTTCAAGCTTTACTTCACTCCATGTTTAGACAGAAAATATCTGCATTAAAGTAACAACATCTGCCAATAAATACAGGTTCAAGATGGATATGTAGACAGGTTACTGCTTGTGAGCAGCTTCCTACCATTTTCTACCTTACATCTGTTTCATCTGAGAAGTAAACTATTGTTTTGTGGACCTTTTGACTGAATGAAACTTCCAAATTTATGAATGAAAGGTTTAATCCAGGTTAATAGCTGTTAATGGTCTCCTTTGTTATTCTTGAAATATCTTCTGCTGGTGTCTTGGTTCGAACTGGAGGGTAAGGGCAGTAGGAGAAACAGTTTACAAACAAAGTGGAATTTACAGTTTGATAAAAAATTCATAATAGTAAGCAGATTACAATAGGAAAGGGAAAACAGGATCTATCTGTGAGTGCTTAACTTATATTTCTCATGGTAACATCAACCAAATAAACATGTATTAATGAAGTTCACATTCTAGCAACAGTTACCATGATTGTCATTTAAATAGTGCAATTCCCTTTTATTTTATCCACTCCTTATGACATAATTTTAGTATTGTTTAATTTAATATTGCATATTCTTGGATTCAAAACTCTTGGCTGAATGTTTTTTATCACGAGCATTAAATATGCCATGAGATCTCACACTGGTTCATTACAAAGATCAGTGTGCCTTTTTGCCAGTTCCCACAATTTGCCAGCTATTCATTACTGCAGATTTTCATCACTCTCATACTGAGCTTGCTGCACCTACTGACATGTCATAATACTGTCTGAATTTGTCTTGTCTATGACACTTTCTTCTGCCCCATCACTTCTTGCAGTTGGTTTAAGGCTTCAGCTCCTCTTCTTGGAAGCAATTCCTAGAGGTACTTTGTCAAGTCTGTCTTAAAAGTTACAATTGTCCTCTTATTTTCTTTGTTAAAATATTGAAACTCAATGAAGAGACCGATTTTTCACAGAGAGTAGACTATATTATTTTTATAATCTAAATCTACTGCCAGTTCTCCCACAGGTCTAACGACTAAAATGGGAAAATGAGTTAGGTTGTATTTGATGCTGTGACCTTTCAGTTCTATCAACAGCAACTGTCTGTGCTGTAAGAGATTTGTTTTGATCCCATGTGGTAATACCAGACTGCATATCAGACTTGTAAGTGACTGACTATTCCTGTTTCATTTTAAATAACACATGTTCTGACTGAATGAGAAGGGATGTGTGGTTTGCATAGAGTAAGTTTCTAGACTGCTCAATTAGCTTCTTTTGGTATAACCTACAGTAAGTTTACATCATTAAACTAGGGAATATATACATTTTATTAAAACTGAACAAAAGAACTCTATCTCTAGTTATCATCAGTCTTTTCCTGGAGCCAGGAAAGATGTTGACTTCATTGACATCTGGCTCTTAGCTGCTACTGACACTTGCAGTCACAAACCTTTACTGCTGCAGGGTCAACATTTATCTTGTTTATCTTCAAACTTGAACAACAAGACTTAGATTCTTAGATTTTTAAAATCCCTTTTGTTTAGCACATTCCCCTTAGATTTAAAAACCATGGAACATTTTTTATCTGAATAAAAGTGTAGAACAAATACTCAGAGATGAAATCTTGTCAAACTCTCGGGGTAAATAATGTAATGTTTTAAACTGTATCATTGATCTGCATCTAGTCTTAAATGAACTAGAAGTTAGTACACACATCTTAGGTTTTTAAATGTAGGAACCATCTGTTCTGTGAGGTGATGATCACTTACTGTCTGCTTGACATCACGTCCCAGAAAAGCTGCTGTTAGTTTTTATGTTCACCAGTTTATCAATCCCAGCATCCAAGGGGAGTGAAATTTGTTTCTAACTGTACAAATCATGCATCCAACAAAGGTAAAGGAATCAGGTCAGGGAGAAGATACCATGTTCCTTCCCCTGCTTTGGATGTTGTACAGATAATAAATCTTGGAATTGTAAGTCCTTCACCTGCCAACTTCAGTTTAATTCATTTGAAAACACTTGGTGAACAGCCCTTTACAGTCCCTGAGGGATAAATGTCATTATTTATGAAATTCTGAATCTTTACTACACTAGCAAACCAGTTTGTTCTCTAAACTGTGCTTTCCAAAGTATTCTCACAAAACCGGTTTTTGCAGATGATGAAATCTCTTTAAAAATCTGGATATTAAGGCTCTAGTATTTTTGCTTTTCACTGTTTCATCAAGAGAAAGAAATTGAAAGTTTTTCTCATTTTAGCCATTTAAATTTGAAAAACTTAATTGTGTAAGGTGCAATAAGGTCATGGCTTTAGAGATGCATTCTGGTACTGCTGGATGCATCACAGAACAGAAGATTGATATACCACATCTCATTCAAAACATTCAGGTTTCATGGCTCTGTTTTATGGTAGAACTTAGAAGTCCAAATTCGCTACTACTTTTTCAGTGGCAGTAGTAGACTTTTAAGAAAAGCCTTCTAAAGGCTAAAGGGGCAAAATCATATAGGAAAATCTACCAAACTTTCCCTTTTGTCAAAAGATTCCCAGAGAATTAGTGTGACAACATATTTTCGCATATATGCACACATCTCCAGAGAAGCACATGCTTTAATTTATTCTTTGTTAAATTAGGTAGAAATAAAACAAATGGGGTGAGGGGTGGGGAGGAGTTGTAGAAAGAAGACCTAGGACACTTGGCTTTTTTTAGCTGGTTAAGAAGCTGGTAATTTATTCAGAGGTTATGTTCAGCATCTGTTAATTGCACTCTTGCACTTGGTGATGCCTCTGTTTCTGAAGTGAAAGACATGCTATGAAATTGTTCTTTTAATCCATCCAATCTTCCAGGCTCTTGTTGACTAATAAAACTTTGTTTTCTTTTGTGGAAGCAACAGAACCTAACATAAAAACTGTATGACAATCCATTCCAATCCCATAATATCAGGGAGTTATATTTTTCCAAAGTGAAGCTTCTGCCACTGCTCCAAGATAGAGCTCTCCTATTTTGTCTTCTGTTGTTCTGTCCTTAAGGTTTAAGGAAAACTAATTCATCCAGCCCTCAATGGATGGGGTAACTAATTATTTCCAGTTAAATATATATCTGTTCATTACTCATTTTTGGGTTTTTTTTTAATAGCAGATCTTATTCCAGAATTACTGGAGTAGAATATTTAGTTTTGCTGTGAAAGTACCGTGCACGAAGAAGTGCTTTGAAATATTTCTGTGAACACTGTTTTTCATTTACTGAATTATGACCCATTGAAAAACTGACCTGCAGGCATAAACAGTATATTTGGTAGAGGGTTTAAATAAATTCGGAGTGACTTCAAGATCAAAGGAAAGTTGTGATTTCCACACAAACTCGATTAATAAATGTGTAAAGGGAATGTGAGGAGACATGCATTCTTCACAGACCATTACATACACAGGAAAACATCAGGGGAAACAAGCTTTGAGATTCCTCTCGTTACGCAACTCAGTCCAGATTAGCTCAAACTGTTGGCCTTTGGCTGTCTGAACAGGGAAATAAGTAATTTATTTCAAGTAGGTGTGTAAGTCCATTTAAATAAATCATGTGCAAGTGCTTTTCAGGGACATAACAGCATTAAGTACATTTTAAATGCTTTCTACAATTGGAGGATAATTGGATAGTCAAGTTTTCTGATATTCTCACAGTGTTTCTTTTCATATAGGACTAAGTGCATATAGCATCTTAGTGCAAGACAAATACTGCTATGAATAGATTTTCAGATAGATATTTTGTCAACATTGGAATTAAAATTTAAGTGTCATTACATTTCTTCCTCATACCATTCTCAGTTATATATCACAAACATATTGATACCAAAGTTCAGTCTGAAAACGTCAGTATTGCAAGATGAACCCCACTATGGAGGGCAGAGGGTTTGGCTGCTGCAGGGACAATACGAGTCCCCATGATTTCGTAGTGGGACACAAAGGAAAGGTCATTATTTGTTGTGGAATACTGCTGAATATTTTGACTTTTTGAGATGTGATGAAACTCAGGAACTTGAATATTCCATCTGATACTTCTCTGTCCACTTCTGCAGGATATGTGAGTTTCTTTTTGTGTACAGGCACCATGAATGATCTAACAAATATTTTATCTGTTTAAGGTGAGTTTGGAGAAGTATGCAGTGGACGTCTGAAGACACCAGGAAAAAGAGAGATACCTGTTGCAATTAAAACTCTAAAAGGTGGCTATGTGGACAGGCAGAGAAGAGATTTCCTGAGAGAGGCTAGTATCATGGGACAATTTGATCACCCAAATATAATTCGCCTTGAAGGAGTTGTTACAAAAAGTAAGTAACTAATAGCTTTAGTTAATAGTTATATGTTGGTTTTCCCATTCTATGTCATTGAGTATCAAAATTAAGCATTGCCTCCACATTCAATATGGATTGCAAATCTCAGAAATCCAAGTCATTGTGACTGTTGATACTGCAAAGTTTGGGACAATAATAGGAAATGCATAACCTATCTGTTTTCCATTAGAAATGTTTTGGGTTTGTGTTTTAATGACAATAATGGGCATTCAAATCAAGTCTTTACAGGTTCTCGTGAAATAGACTGTAGAGGTTGCCTATAGGCAAGTGGAGACTACCATAAATGTAATTGAGTTGAAAATGAAGTTAAATTGTTTTCCACAAGTATTTTTATTTATTTGGTTTATTGATTTTGGTACCAGAAGAGGTGAATTTTTCATTTTAAGGAAATAAAATGTAAATTCTTTATAACTTATTGTACACTCATAAATTATTTTCTAAAATTCTAGAAAAATCTATGAAATGTCTTACTCTTTGTAACTGTTGCAGCTGCCAAGAGATATCCCTTGCTTCTGAAATTTAGCATTTTCAGTGGTGGTATGGTCTTTTCTGAAACACTGAAATATCTAGTCATCATTCAAGTATTAAGTAAAAAGTCTTATTAACATGCATGTAATTTCTTTAAGGCCAACTTTTTCCAGTAGTGAATTAAACAACTCATATTATTTTCAGAACTAATCATTGTCTTAACCAGGTCATGTTGTTTGCTAATTTGCAGTACTTTTCTTTTTTGCAGTATTTTTCTTTAAAGAGAAGTGTTGTGTGTATAAAACAATTATCTCCTCTTATCATCGCAGTAAATACAATAAATAGGTTATGAATATTTCCCATTTTCACCTTTATACAACATCAGATCTTTGGAAAACACAAAGGACTACAACAGGGAGGAAAGTATAGCTCCTGAACATGTCATTGGAATGGAAATTCAGTAGGTTTATGGAAAGACCTGACTCAAATCTATGTCTCTGTTGTTCTAAATTAAGATCAAGAGGATCTTCTTCTTTCTTCATACAGTACTGCAAGGATTAATTAATTATTATTTAGGAATGTTTGGTTCCTAGACTAACAGAATCCATTGCATTCCAGGAAAGATATGGCATAGCCTCTCCATTGCTCTCCTGCCAGTAACTGCTCTGCTGACAACAAACAAGAACGCAAGTTAGTAGTGGCTGAGCAGCATTGGACATTTTTGTCCAGAGATGTAAATATGTAGGAACTCAACTGAGTTTAGCTCCTTGCTTCATAATGAGCAGCATAGCAACAATTAAATCATACCAGTCTTCACCAGCATGGGCAGTTTATGAACCAGTATCACAGGAATGACTAGGATCCATGTGGTGAATCTAGTAGGGTGTGTCTCATTTCTGTAAAGGGCAAATGGCTGTGATTTACAAACATTGTTTAAATCCAGTTAAATGGTGCATACACAGTACAGGATAATGTACTTGGCAATGGCATGATTGTTTAATCTTTGCCACTTTTCTAAATTTTCTTTCTGTAATGTCTCATCATTAGTCTAGAGAGAAATTAATACTGATTTCAGAAAGCAGAAAACAACAGAAATCAGTGCTCCAACATTGGAATATTTGCTTGAGTTCTACAGGAAAGGTGATTATAGAAAACTGTAAGGCAAGAAGTCATCAGTAGCAGTTCTGCTTTTCTCTAAGGAGTCAATGAACTTTATTATTGTTTTGTAATGTTTGTTTAGAGGAAATATAAAATATAGTAGGTGCTACTGTTATAGTCCCACTGCACTGTATGCATCTCTCAGATATAAAATAAGTAGTGAAAGTTTGAAAGAAAATACTTTTGGGTCAGGCAGGTTTTTTAAAAAATAAAACAATTATACAGCCATAATGATAGAATGTAAAAAGAGTACATGAATTATCAATAAACTTCACCCCAAGGCATAGAAAGTGCAATTATATAAAGTGTGAAAGACAAGGTTGTGCATTACTGCTTTGCTGCAGGAAAAAGCTAGAAGGCAGGCTGAGAGATGGACACATGTACTCTTTCCAGTTTATCTTTAGGACGTTGCTTTGCATTTATACTGCCCCAGCTGTGGTATTTAGAGAATAACATGACTTCAGCTTGGAGAAGAACAGTTGCCTTGAATTTCACTAAGTCCAGGATTGCAGCATTCACCATGGGACAGAAATTTCCTATAACTAAAAGGTGTGCTGTAAAAGTCAGACAGAACCATGTCCCAGCCAAATTATTTATGTAATGACAGCATGATTAAAAGGTGTTCTGTGCTAAAACTTAGATTAATAACAGTAGAAACTATTTGTCTGATGTGCATTACAGTTCCACTAACCTGTTAAGGCACATTGGATGCAGTAAATTTGATTAATAGATGTGTAATGCTGTTCTTAGCACATGCTTTCCTCTTTGTAACCATTAGTCATTAACTTCTAGCTATTGCTGATATATATTGCATCAGTTTGTAAGCAGTAACTTCCATTACATTGTCATTGACTATTGAACAAAAAAGAAAAAGGGTTTGGTTGTAATAAGCAGAAGTGCTCTACCAAGTTCAATAGCTATTGACTGGGACAATAACAAATTTGCCTGTTCATTACAAATGAGAGCTTTTATCTGGTCCTACCAGCTAAGCAGATGTTAACTTTTAAATTATACTGTTTTCAAAATTGCTATGGAATATGTACTGTACAGGATGAAAAAATGCTAAACTAAGCCTGCTCACAAGTAGGTCTGAAGCAGAGTTTTAATTCCCTTTTCTGATTGCTTCATTTCTCATTTGTCCTAACTGCAGTCCCTAATCACAGAGAGCAGTAGGCAGAACAGTTGCTGTAGCAGAAGCTTTCTGTTAGCAGAGAGTTCATTTCAAGGGCAATTTGCTGGGTCACAGCAAATGCTCCATAGCACAGAATCTGGATCTGATCATTCACTTATGTTGCTAATCAGAAGTCACAAGGGAAACTTTATTCCTGTTTGGTTTGTTTTAGCAACACCATTCCTTGTATGGTTTGCCATAAAAGGATGCTTATTGCCTTGCAAATTTGTGAGCGATGCATGGGCACTTTATAAAAACATCCATGTTTCCATTTCAAGCCATATTAGCACAATGATAATTTTGGGACCTCTTCTTGGGTGTGTCAGGGCATGGATCAGTTTTATGTCCTTGACCAAGCTGCTGCTGGTTCATAAACAGGTATAAGAAAAACAACTTCTTTCTCCAGTGCAAACATATGTGACCACCATTGAAAGCTGGGCTATGTAGAAGTAAGATGTGTCCTCTGCTTCTACATAATGTTGCAGTCTGTGTTACAGACTTCCCAGAAAAGTCTGTAAAGTAACTTAAAGCTATGCCTACAGCAAACATCTGACAGTGTAACTGTATCTGACAAAAGACATGAAAAATGGACTCTGACTATTGTAACTATATGGGAAAAAATCCAGACTGGAATCTACAGTTAGTTTAGCTTGATGGTATCTTACACAATAGTTTAAAGCACAGCCTAATCAGTACTTTGTAATACTGTGTCAATAGAAAATATAATGCACACAAGGGCTTTATTGCATTCATAATTTGTTTATTCCCTTCCCCCTCAGACTTTACCCTAAAGTTTCCAGTTTCTGACTACTGGAGGATTTACACCTGTCACACTTACAAAATTAATCTTTTTAAGGCATTAATTTTCTTTAGCAACATTATGTATATGGATATTCTCCAGAAGAATTTTCAAAACAGTTCCTTCACAAAAGGAGGATAAATGAAGACAGATCCTAGATTTCTGGTTTTGTGTAAGAATCAAATCTGGGTTTGGAATGACACTTTCAACTCCCTTATTGTCTCCTTACTGGTTTGATTTAGTGGCTTTCAAATTGTGAATACTATTGCAGTTCTGAAATCTATAGTCAGTCATCTAGCAGATTAAATTCAAACCTTTAGTCATTGAGTTTCTTTTTAAATTATTTTATATAACCCATTCAAGTGCAACAAAAGCCCTAAAATCATTGCATCTTGCCTTGTCCTACCTATGAGGAAGGCAAAGCAGCAGAATGATCCTCTTTCACTACAGTTTACAGTCTGTAGCTCTTCATATCTGACCCATTTTTCATTTTTCAAAACTGCAGGACATAATGTATTCATCTTTTTTTTCAGCCAAGACATTGTGCTCTAGCCCTTTAATCCTTCTACTGTAATGAATCTAATATTGCCCTTTTCTCCAACCTGTTAAATGAAGTTCAGAATTCATTTCAGAAGACGACATATTTTCCAGTACATGTGTTTATTATACATACGATATTGTATAGTTGGTTGTTATGCAAAAGGATTGAGGAAATTTTGTGTCAGTGTTTGTAATATTCTTACCTCAGTCATGGATGGTGAAATTGTACTCCCAGGAAATGTGATTCTGCAAAGTTTAAATGTTGGCCTCTTAAGAGTCAAGATGTGACTATTTGAAGTAGGCTACACCATGAGAGCTTACAAAATATGATTATGATTATACATCCAAAAAATGTGACCTACATTGCAGTATTTATCATGCAATTCTGAAAACTAAAACCTTTAGGACCAACAGAAAACATACATGGTTAATAAATTCCGTATCAGCATTATAGAATTGTTTATAACCTACAGTGTAACCACTTTCAGGTCTTGACATTTACATCTGTCAGTAAACCCAGTACATCACTAGCATATCCAGGCACAGATGTACTTGCTGGAGGCCAAAATGGCAGCAGACCCAGCCCTTGAACCCATGCCCTTGCACCTGCCATATGCACCACAGATACACAGCAGTGTGTGAAGACATTATTTATCCATTAATATCTTCCATTCTGCTAATGGACAATCCACTGTGACGCAAAGTGAGGGTGAGACTATATGTGTGTCATGTTAGCCAGTGGCCTTTACATGGCATCAGCATGTAAAGTTGAATTTGTCTGGTGAAGCATATTGTAGATATGCACATAATGACAGACAAAATGGCAAGATTTTAGTTGTG